AAATTGACATTTCTGAAGCCAAACAAATTTTGAACAAAACTGTTAACTTCTTAAAGTTATATCGCTCATATAAAGCTTTTGAAAAAATTATTTCTGATGCAGAATTAATTGTAGCTGAATTAGATTTAGAGCCATCATTTGCATTTAAAGTTTCTATTAGACCAAGGTTTAAAAGACAAATATTTTCTCATGAAACTTGAGATGATCCCATTATAAATGCAAAAGATAGATTTTAAATAGAATGTTTTAATTGTATTTTAGATAGTGCTATAAATTCGATTGAAGAAAGATTTAACCAGCTAAATGTGATGCTTTTCAACTCCTGTACGATATTGCAAATATTAAAAAAGATTTTTCAGAGGAAAGTCTCAAAAAAATATGTTTAAATCTTCAAAATATAATAAGCACAGATTCTTCTGCAAATATTGATAGCATGGAATTATTAGATGAATTGCTTGCATTGTCTGAATTAATTGAACCAAAACGTCACCATAGTACTAGAGCTTATTTTAAGAAACAATAATTTCACTCCAAATGTTTCTATTGCTTTACGAATTCTGTTAACACAGCCAGTATTAGTTGCATCTGGAAAGTGTAGTTTTTCAAAAGTGAAATTAATTAAAGATTACTTAAGATCTACTACGTCACAAAATCGTTTGACGAGTCCTTCTTTATTATCTCAAATTAGATTTTACTGAATTATTGATGGCATGTTAAAATATGCCTATTTTGTATGTATTTTGCTTGCTTTTTGTGTTTTTACTGTTTGGATTTAATGTTTTGCAGATATACGATTCTATGCGTCACTTTTAGTTTTACTTTAAGGTGTTTTTTAATTTACTGGTGCTTTTTAGTTAGGGCGGCAAACTGAGATCTTGCCTCGGGTGGCAGAATACCTTGAGCTGGCACTGTTCTAAAAGATTTATTCAACTTGTCACTATTATGTTTTTTGATTTGGTTTGTGTTTTACGATGGTTTTCTTGGCAAAAGTTGTGGGCAGTACATGCTGTCAACTTTTCTACTTTAAAGATGGACTGATTATTATATTAACGATCTTTTTGATGATATCCGTGATTAAAAGCCTCTTGTTAAAAAAGACGTAGAAGGGCCAAAGGTACTTAGATTTGAAGTTCGTGGCTCTTTTTCCAAAATGAAATCAAATAAAGCGCCGGGTCCAGATGAGATAGTTGTTGAAGAAATTAAATGTCTTGATGAATTAGACATTGAAAAAGTGGCAAAATTTCAAATGTAATTTATAACAGCGGCGAAATTCCTAAAGATATTAATTGCATTGCTTAAAAAACCTAATACAATAAAATGTGAACTACATTGAACAATCAGCTTGATGAGTCATATTACAAAACTTCTTTTGAGAATTCTGATGAAAAGACGAAGCAAAATCATCTAAAATTTCAAATGTCCAATGTGGTTTTGTAGAGGATTGTGGCACAAGAAATCCATCTTTAAAAACCTTCTTTCTCTAAGATTTTTTCACCGGATTTAGCTTTTATGCATCAAGAAACGGTGCAAGTCCTATTCCAGTGATTTCTTTGATGTTTTTATACATTGCACTTTTATTACTGTTTTTGATCTTTTTTAATGATAATGATTAACCATTTTTCCTTTACCTCTAAGCGCATTTATTGATTGTTTTGTTCAGCTTTTTGTAACTATCAGGATTGCAACCTTTTACTTTCCTTCATTCATCCATCAAAAACATGATTTTTAAATGAAAAACATCCTCACCAACAGTAAAATCAGAATATCAACAAAATTAAAACAGTTAGGGTGCTACATTTTTCTGTGCTAACTTACGGTTCTGTGTTCTAGACAATTTCTAAAAAAAATGGAAAAAAAGATTAAGACTGCTGAGATGTGGTTTTTGAGAAGAATTATGAAACTTAGTATGACCTCTCATACATCAAATGAGGGTGTATTAAAACAGTGCGGATATGAAAAAGGAAATTATTACAGATAATCCGACGGGGGCAGTTAAAGTTTTTTGATTAAATCATGGGAAGGAGCGAATGGAAAATCTAACAACTACTGGAAAGATTGCGGGGAAAAGAGATCGTGGTCAACAACAAATAACATTCGTGAAGTCCTTGTGTCACTTGTTGAGTATCACCACATTTCAACTACTACAAAGTGTTAAAGGTTGGGTTTTATGTAGGTCGATGGTCGCAAACGTCCTGAAAGGATAAGGCACGAGAAAGGAAAAAGAAGATATAAATTAGGACTTGTTATGTTGCTAATGAGTTGCAAATTATGGAAATAAAGTTGAAAAAAATTGTTTCATGCATTTTTTCTGGCCCCACTATTTGATATTTAATATTAATACTGTTTTACACATGTGTATACACATGTATCATGCATATTTTTATCTTTATAACTTTCCTTCATAATCATTGGATACTTTCCTACACATGTACATCACTTATATCCATTTCGATAATGTACATTCATACTGTTCGTTCACCTAAATACAATAAGATACAATAAAACTGCGTACTGCGTGCAAATTCCATACATTCACTCGTTTTATCTTGCAAAATTTTTTACCTACCGCTGCATTATTTTAAATTACTTTAGTTGTTTTACTTAAATATGTATCCATTTATTTATTTTAATATTAAACTATAACTTATTTCACTAATTATTCAATTTCATCTGCATTACAAGGTAACATTTTGCTTTTAACGTAACTCTTCAAATTATTTATTCATATGATGCTTTGTTTCATTTGGCCTGTTTTAAATCACAACACGTAACATTTTAAATACTATTTTATTTTATTTTATTTTATTTGGTTCACATTTATGGCAATATTTGCATCTCACACAAGGCTCTGAAGATGGTGTACACCGAAACAACGTTGTTAGTCAAATTATGTCACTTGTTCTCAATAAATACGATTTACAACAATTCCATATCGTTGAGTGTATTTTCTATTTTCAAAAAGTTAATTAATGGTAAGTATTCAATGAAATTTGCATATATATATATATATATATATATATATATATATATATATATATATATATATATATATGCATATATATATATATATATATGTAAATTATATTTCATATAATTATCTATGTATTTCTATTCTGTGCTTGTAAATTATGTTTCATTACTTTGGTATTATCTTATATATAAATGCAAATAGCACGTGGTTATATTTTATTATTGTTGGCTTTGTAAACGATCCTGGAATTTAATTTTTATACTTAGATTAATAAATTAGGTTATTCGAAAGCAAACTTATAAATTAAATCCCAAAAAGAAGATGGCTTCAAAAACAAGTAAGTTGTATTTTCATATTATTAAAAGAAATAATGACAAATTTGAATTAGCGGGCATATCGGAAAATAAAGAAACATGGTATGCCCTACCTGAAGAGAAGAAAGATTTAAGTTTGCACGAAGCTCTATCTACGAAGCGAGATAGAGCTTCGTGCAATCTATCAATACAATTAATTCTATCAAACCTATCAACGGTTATCGCACAATTTGCATCAAACTCGATGATGAATTGAGAAAAGAATATTACGACGAAGACGAAAATCTATGTTTTTTAGATAATATGTTAGAAGAAAAAATTATTGATAATAAACATAGAGATGAATCAGATGACAATTTTTTAAATGAACGAATTAAGGAATTAGAAGCTAAGCTAAGTCTGAATGATAACTTTAAGCTGCAAGACGTTGAAAAAAAATTTATTCTGGAAAATTTCAACAAAAAGAAAAACCCTACTGAATGGATAGAGAAATTTGAAAATGAATGTAGAAGGCATAAAATACTAAATCCTACTAATGTCATAGAAGCATTACGCTTCTTTTTATCTGGGTCACTGAAAGATTGGTACGAATCAAATTTAAAAAAGATTGGCTTAACTAATTGGTCAGAACGGAGAAAGTCCTTTCTGACCATTTTTGCAGATAGAGGTTGGAAAAAAATAAGAACCGCATATAATTACAAATATTTAGGTGGTTCTTTAATAGACTATGCCTTAGCGAAGGAAAACCTATGTTTAGAAATTGAAATGTCGAGAATAAACATTACTGTCTTTCATATTTACATTGAAGATGAAAATGATTAGAAGCAAAGACAAATAATACTCTAAATAAACAAAATCAAAGATATGAAAATAACACTCTAAACAAAGAAAATTTTGTTAGACCAAATTTTATCAGGTCAGAGAAGAATATTAATATTACAGCAAATAAACCGTGTTTTATGTGTGAAGAATTGGGCTGGAAAAATCGATACCATTCAACAAATGAATGTAGAAATAAAACTCTTTACTCATCAAAAAGAGAAATAAATATTCATGATACTAACTACCAAACAGATGACGAAGCACATATGATGAAAATTGAAGTTGACAAGAAATCTTTAAACTAGAAAGCCCGGGAAAATTGAATGCACTGATAAGAGTAAACGTAATAATCGATAATAAATTAAAAGTTAAAGCGGTTTATGATAGTGGATCAAATATAAGTCTAATAAATAGGAAAATCATAGATATTTTAAAACTAGGCTTAATGAATAATAGAAGTACTTTCAAAACCATCAGTGGGTTCAATTTTAGTTCGGCCCCGGCAAATATAGTTGTTAAGATTGGATAATTTAAATACATACGTAGTCAAAAATAACAATTTTTCCTATGACCTATTACTGACAAGTCTATTGCGGACGAGTCTAGATGCAATAAAAAAGTTCAAACTGATTCAAGATGAAAATTTTAACATTCCACAAAGAATTAATAAAAACAAGACCATCAATATAGAAGAAAGAGATAAGATGAATAACAATCACAACATGGTTAAATCAGATGAACTGACTGACAACCAATTTAATCTACAAAAGGCAGAAAAAATAATTTAATTAAAATTTCAGAAGTCAATTTTAACGATTTGTGAAAATTTAGACCACATTGAAGATGAAAATAGAAGAAAAGATAGTTAAAATTTAATAAACAAGTACAAACATATGTTTGCAAAAGATAAATATGATGTAGGAAAAGTGAAGTCTAAAGAAGCAGAAATAAAATTAACCAGAAATGAATATGTAACAGCAAGACCATATAAATGTTCCATAGTTGATGAAGAAAAAATCAAGACCCAAGTCAAGAAGTTATTAGAAGCTGAGTTAATTGAAGAATCGGAATCCCCTTATGCCTCGCCAGTAACTCTTGCTTTTAAAAAAGATGATGGTCGTCGGACAAGACTTTGCATTGATTTCAGACGATTAAATAAATTAGTAGTTCCTGAATGCTATCCATTCCCTACTATTAATGATGTCATAGATAAAGTACCAAATTGCAAATATTTCACTGTACTTGATATAAATTCTGCATTTTGGTGTATATTATTAAAAAAGGAAGATAGAGAAAAAACTTCATTTATCACTAAGTATGGAAAATTCATGTTTAAGGTTTTACTCTTTGGTCTTAAAAATTCTCCTGCAAATTTTCAACGTATTCTATCTAATATCATAAGAAGAAATAATCTGGACAATTTTTGCATTAACTATATTGATGACATACTTATATTTTCACGCTCTTGGGAAAAACACATTATTCTTATTAAAAAAATTCTTCAAATTATCACAGAAAAAGGTTTTAAATTAAAATTAGGAAAATGTAAGTTCGCTGCTAAAACCATTAAATATCTTGGACATTTTATTCAAGAAAATAAAGTAGCACCAGCTCAAGAAAATTAAATCGCCATCAAGAATCTTAAGAGACCAACAGATAAAACAGGAGTTAGATGTGTGTTAGGATCTACTAACTTCTACCTTAAATACATCGAAAATAGTGCTCAAAATTTGAACCACTGCATAAGCTTTTAAAAAAAATGTTAAGTTTTATTGGTCCCAAGATTGTGAAGATTCTTTCAACATGATAAAAGAATATTTATGTTCTCAGCCATCTTAGCCATTTACGATAAAGCCAAAGATACGTATATTGAAACTGATCAATATTTTTGATCAGCTTTATTTTGTCGTGCCAACCTGTCACTAATCTCTGAATTTATTTTGTCCACAACACTTTTTATAATTCTTCGAAGTTCTTCCTCGGCATTCATATCAACGTCTCTACATGTTTCTTCAGGCATTCGTTTATTTCTTTTTGTCGTTTTTCAATTTCAACGTCGCATTGTTTGCACAGGTTTTTTTTCTGTTTCGACACATTCATTAACAATCAGTTCTTATCATTGTCATTAAATAACTGATTTTTGATGGCTTCAGTATACTTGACTGCGTCATAAAAATTCATTTTTTGAACACGGTTAATGGTTTTCAAAACTCGATACCAGAAAACTTTCAAAGTAAAAAAGTCAAAATAAAAAATTCTTTGATGTAAAGAATTTGTCTCAGATAATTCAATGGTCTTGGAGGTATCGTTTATTAATTGTTCAAGTACAATTAATATTGCATCCAATGATCTTCAATAAGTTTTATGGCTTCAGTTCTCAAACTCCATCTCGTTTCAGATTTAGATTTAAGAGAAATAGGGACACCATCTTTCAATTTTTGTCATCTTTGTGTTGACCGTGAAAAAAAAACATACAACTCTTCAATTATTCCAAAAAATGTTATCATTGCAATATTTTTTTGCTGCATATACATCCACTAAATTTTATGAATGGTTATTACAATTCACAAAAAGTGCTAAAAAATTCAATTTCCTTATACGTTCGCTGACACCACTTTTATAACCTGCCATCAATCAATCTATAAATCAGTCAGTCAGTCAATCAATCAATCAATCTATCGATCTATTAGCTTGTAAAGCGCTATTTTCGTGATGTTCAACAGCGCTCCTCAATAAATTTTGCAAACAGATGGGCCTTGAGATCCGCTCTGAAGTTCGTAAGTGATGGAGAAGTAGTCAGAGAAGTAGGTAGAGAGTTCCAAAGAAAAGGGCCAAAAAAAGCCAAAGCAGATTTAGCAAAAGAGTGTTTAACACCAGTTAAGAAAAAGCGAGAACAAGAGGACGATCGTAAACCGGGGCGTTTAGGTTCAATTAATATATCTGATAAGTACTTAGGAAATAATTTAGATTGAGACTTATACATAAATGTGCAAATTTTAAAAATTATTCTATATTTTTTAGGTAGCCAGTGCAAGAGAACAAGATATGGAGATATATGAGAAAAGAAAGGGGCACGAGCAACTAGATGAGCAGCAGAGTTAAAAGCTTTACTAAAAGGATAGAGTATAGGAGGCAGCCGAAGAAGCAACCACAACAACATCAGAAACAAACTAATGATGAAATACCAAATTATAAAAATAATGACAACATCAGCTCCTCAAAATATGATCATAAATCTTTTGGTGGAACCCTACCATCCAGATCGTCCATTGCCGAGAATTTTCATGAGAGCCTCAAAACTCATGCAAAGCCGACGACATTGAAACAAATTTCAATAAGATTTCCGTCAACACACGCGTCTTTAGCATCATCGACTGCCAATGAAAATGCTTGTTTGTTGGCGACACCAAAAAATGTACGAGGAGTTAATTTGATTTACTTGATTTAAATATTTAGTTAGGTTTTAATAAAAAGAAGTTCATTCAATATATCGGTTGTTGCGTTTAAATTAATATCGAAGACAGTTTGGTTTTATGCCTGGGAAATCTGCTATTTTGTTGTTATTAAAGTTGGTAGATGAATAGAGTTTGGCGATTGATGAGGGTAAAAAAGTTGAGGTTATATACACTGATTTTGAGAAAGCGTTTGATAAGGTTCCTCGTGATGAACTTATTACTAAATTAAAATCTTATAGAGTGATTTGATTGATCTAGATTTGATTGTGGATTGTATAAAGAATTACCTAAAAAAACAGATCTTCATGGTAAAAGTTAGTAGTTCAATATCAGATAACTTTGGTGTCTTTAGTGGGGTGCCGCAGGGTAGTGTATTAGGCCCTACTCTGTTAATTATTTATTTATTTTATATATTTGCAGATAGAACGGATGTAAGTGTGTACTTATACGCTGATGATGCCAGGTTCTTTAAAAATTTAGATTCTTAGATTCTCAAAAAGAAATGAATGATTTGGGAGTGACTTTTGATTGCGATCTAACATTCCATATGCATATTTATAGTAGTATAATTAAATGCAATAGTTATTTAGGTCTGATTTCTCGAAACTTTAATCCTGGTCATTTAACTTCATATTCTTTTCTGTTATTATACAAATCTATTGTCAAATCTAGAATCGAGTATGTATCCAGCGTGTGGGCTCCATGGACCAAGAAGTTGATTGAAGATGTCGAAAGAGTACAGAAGCGGCCAACAAAATTGTTGAAAGATTGCCGAGGTCTCAATTATGGGAATCGTTTTATATCTTCCGACTCTGAAGTATCGCCGATTGCGGGCAGATCTGATAACGGTCTTTAAGCTAACTCGCGATGCAAAGATGCCGTCTTGCTATCCCAACTTGGTCATAGCAAGGGATGGTAGAACAAGAGTTCATCAATACAAGCTCTCAACTCAAAAATTTAACAAGAACCTTCGGAAGCACTGTTTTTATAAAAGAGCGATTGTTATTTGGAATGGTTTGAATGTTGAAGTGGTGAATGCTTGTGATGTTATCCATTTTCAAATAAAAGTTAGACACTTGTTTAAAAGATATTCCATGTAAATTCTTTTATAAAGCTGACTGATATAAATCTATTTTGTAAAATCGAAAAAACGAACTACAAACATATTAACGCCAAACATTCGGTAGAATTTATAGAATATTGTAAAAATTAGGGTCTATTACCAACACACACATATATATATATATATATATATTTCAAATATATATAAATATGTCATTTAAATGATCAAAGGTTTGGGTATATATACACATTAATATTAAGTAATTTACCTTAATTTTGCATTATATAGTTTATTTTCGGAGGTGTTTGTACGTTACTATAGGCTTGGTATATACTCATTTTACTTACTATTATATATTGCATGGTTGGCTAATTATATTGCTTTTATATATTTCTTTTTTCTCCTGTTGGGAGCATAGGAATGTTCAGTTCGCACCCTTTAATAATAAACTATTATTATTATTATTAAAACTTGCGTATTTAATAACAACATGTAGAGTTATATATGCACGTGTCACACGTTAACACATTTTGAACATCTACTTTCTTAAAATTGGTGTTCGAATAGTACTCGAGTATAAGTACTACCAGGTACAAGTACCACATCACTTCTAAAAACAGTAATTGCACAAAGCAGTTTCAAAGTTTCGTTCGATCGATAGTAGGGTTCGAGTTCGGTTACTTTTCCATCTCTGGTTTATCAGATGTAGAGTATAAATAGAACGAGTAATCATCTATGTTATTAGATCTATTATTCTTATTAATAATAATTACATTACAATTAAAATAGGATTTATTATGCTTGAAATTATTTTTAATTATTTCTTTATTTTCTAATTAATTATATTAGAACTAGATTTATTATGCCTATTATTATTATTACCGGACTAGTCCCGCCGAAGACAAAGTAGATAAGTCTAGATATGCTCAAAATATTATTTCTAGAATAAGACACATATTTTTATTGTAAACAATTATTTATTAGGTATAGACAAAGTTATGGCAAACGTTGAGTTTCGTGCCCAACGGCAACGCAGATAACTATGCATGACGCTATAGATGTAAAAATGTTAATTTATAGTTTATTATTATTATTATTATTATTATTATTATTATTATTATTAACAAGGTTTAAAGTGGTTCAAAAGATTAGAGTCTGTGTAAGAACCACTACTTATTAGATCTCATAATATGCTATCTGACCGAGTTTGACTTTGAAGCTCTTGAGTGAATTCACAGAGACTGCATCATCGCTTAGCTCGTTCCAGGCGTTGACCACTCTACTGCTGAAAAATCTGCTCTTTATTTTTCCATCCGAGTTTTTGAACGTAGTTTATCAACTCGGATCGTAGTTTATCACTGTTTACTAGCCTGAAAAATCTCGAGTATGGTGTTGTTTCTTTGTTCGTGATCAATTTGTGTGTTTGGATTAGATCTCCTCAGCATCTTCTTTTTTCTAATGATGTTAAGTCGCATTTTTTAATATCTCATCGTATTCCATTTTTCCGATTCCTCTAATCATTCTTGTGGCTTTACGTTGTGCTTTTTCTAAAACTTCCTTATCTCTTTGCATATATGGGCTCTATGATTGAACACAGTAACTCCAGATGAGGTCTGACTAGAGTTTTGTACAGTTTCAGTATGATATGCTTCTCTCTGCTGACCATTTTTCTTTTTATAAATCCTAAGATCGTATTAGCTTTGGCCGCTGCCACTGTGCATTGTCTTGACGGTTTTGTGCTTTGATGAACAATGATTCCAAGATCCTTTTCTTCCTCAGTTGATCGTAGTACTTTTTCACCAATTTTATATTCATACTTAGCGTTCTTCCTTCCCAACGTTGAAAAGCATTTGCCAGTCCTTGAACCATTGGTACAGTCTTGCTAGGTCTTTTTGTAATATTCCCGCATCTTCATCGTTGTTGACTTTCCCACATAATTTGGTATCATCTGCAAACTTTGAAATCTTAGAGACTATTTCTTTGTCGATGTCGTTAATGTATATCACAAATAATAGCGGTCCCAATACCGATCCCTGAGGCACGCCACTTGTTACGTCTATCCACTTCGAGTTTATTCCTTTTATCCGCACCTGTTGTCTCCTATCTTTCAGCCAATTTTTCATCCATTGTAGCAGATTTCCTTCTACCCCATAAACCTGTAACTTTTTGGATAATCTTTTATGTGGCACCTTATGAAATGCTTCTGCAAAATCTCAATATATTACGTCTACAGAGTTATCTTGGTCTAAGTTAACATAAACATCTTCAAAAAAATCCAATAGGTTAGATAGACAGGATCGTCCCTTCATAAAACCATGTTGGCTGTCATTTATTATGCAATTAGAATTTAAGTGGTCGACTATATTCCTCTTGACAATTTTTTTCAATACTTTACATATAATGCAAGTTGAACTAACTGGTCTGTAGTTACTAGACTGGCCGTAGATTACCGATATGTAAATAAATATTCGGCAAGTGACGGATATCTTACCCTTGATTTACGTGAAGTGTTACAGAAGGTTAAAAAAGCCAGATATTTCAGTAGTTTTGATGCAAAGAGCGGATACTGGCAGATCCCCATGGAAGAAAAGTCTCGATGGTTGACTGCCTTTGTGTGTGATGAGGGTTTATATGAATTCAAACGCATGCCCTTTGGTTTGAAGTCCGCGAGTATCACGTTTGTTCGAGCCATGAAGGAAATGACCAAAAAAATCCAGCTCTTCACCGAGGCATATATCGATGATATCGCTGTGTTTTCTCAAACCTGGGAGGATCATATGGTACACCTTCAGAAGTTTTTTGATGTGGTAAAGCAGGCTAGTATAACCTTCGACATACAAAAGTGCGATTTGCAAAGGCCAAAATACCCTATCTGGGACATGTTGTTGGATCGGGTGAAATCGAGACGACCGCACATCAGAGTGCGTTAGAGGCGGTGACACGGCAATTAAAAAACGCCACTAGTCTGTATACCATAGACTATACTCGATCCTTTAACTTAATTACAGATGCCAGTGATCACACGGCGGGTAATTACAGATGCCAGCGATTACACGGCGGGATGTTGCTTAGTGCAACCTGATGACGATGGTAATGAACGTCCAATCGCATTCGCAAGCCAGAAGTTGCCAGATACCCAGCGTCGTTGAGCCACAAGTAATTTATGTTAACGCTTTCCAACAACAACCTCGTCGTCAGTTAGTAATTTATATTAACGCATTCCAAGAACAACCTCGTCTTCACAACCCGTTCGACGTGTTCACGTCTGGTCTCAGTCGACAGTAGTAGACTCGACAACAATTCAACCTAGTTGAGACCGTCGTCACTGCCGAACGCCTCACAAAATCGTCTCAGCCGGCGACAACCTCTAGTAGTCAAGTCTACAAGAAGCACACATTCGTATTCAGCCATTATAAAAAATTTGAAATTTTCAAGTGGGACTGAATTGAACCCTTACATTTTGGACAATGGCGTGACGATAGCGTCCCTCCAATCCCTTGGTATATCTCCTGATCTCAAAGAATTATTAAATATTTCGCACAGTGTGGCTCCTACTTCACGTCTTATTTCCTTTAAAAATTTTGGGTGCAGCTCATCTATTCCTGGAGTTTTATTCTCTTCGAGACTGCCTAGTATTTCGACAACCATCTCTTCTGTTATGTAAACACTTGTAAGCACCCTTTCTTGGCTTCCCCCAAACAATTTTTTGGCTCCGTTATGTCATTTGTATTTTCTTTTGTCAGCACCGATCCAAAGTAGTTATTGAGCATCTCAGCAATTTCTTCTTCTTCCGTTACAATCTTGT